CAACTATTGTCTGGTTTTCAATCCCAGCAGTTCCTAAGGATGCCATATTGCCTGGGACTTTGTTAATATGAAATATTTCTAACATGTAAAAATAGAGAGAGAAGGTTATATGAAATGCTTATATACCCACTGTCAAGAATTAATAATTCCATTTCTTTTTCTTCCATCCCAGACATAACCACAAGACCAGTGTCGAACTGGGATCCACAGGGATTTCAACGGCTGAGATCTTTCAAAAGTAGATTGCCACGGCCCTTTTCTGAGGTACCTTGGGTGTTTTCCAACTGCCAATCTTTCACTCAGTAGCCCACAGCTTAACCAAAAGGGGACTCCTCAAACTCTTGTCGATTGTTGTTGTTTTTAAGTGCCATTGAGTCAATTCCGACCCATAGCTACCCTATATAGGGTTTCCAAGGAGTGGCTGGTGAGCTGGAATCGCCAAACTTGCAGTTCAAACTGACTTTGCAGTCCAGTGCATTAAGCCACACCTGGACTCCAACTCTTGTCTAGTAGACCATCATTTCTACTTTCCCCCATTAGTGGTTATGTACATCTCTCCAATTCAAGTGGCCCAATGAATACAGAGTAATACCCCCATAGAAAAAGCCTAGAAGCAGAATTATTCATACAGAATACAGCATTTAAACATGTCTGGAACTTGTTAAATTGTTCTCTAATGTGGTTTTACCAATCTATCTATTCTCCGAATAATATGTGAGTATTTGCATCTCCTGACCGTCTTGCCTGATTTGGGGGACTGCTAGATTTTAACTTTCCTTCCATATTTGATGGCTATAAAGTTATATGTATTGTCTAAATAGCTGGCGACCTTGAGAACTGTCATGTTTACTGGCAATTTGTTCTCAGTTTTATGAACTGTTCTTATTTGTTTTCATTCTATCCAGAGAATTGTTTTCTTTTCAACTTATCGAAGTATGTTATACAAGGAGACTATACAATGTGCATGGAAATGAAATGATAAAACTTTCAAAAATATAAACTTTAATTCTCTACATAAGTTCCATCAAGGTATCAGCTATTTAGTACATCACCAAAGAACTGAGGGTACTGGGAATTTAACAATTCCAATGCAGTCATTTTTACATTATTTTACTGAAAAAAAAAAAAAAGTTGTTTTTGTTAGGTGCCTTTGAGTCAATTCCGACTCATAGCTACACAAGGCACAACAGAATGAAACACAGCCTGGTTTTGTGGCATCCTCACAATCACTGGTATGCCTAACATCATGCAACTGCCACTGTGTCAGTCCACCTCATGGGGGGGGGGGGGGTCTTCCTATTTTTGGCTGACCTTTCACTTTACCAAGTATGATGTCCTTCTCCAGGGACTGGTCCATCCTAATAAGATGTCTGAAGTATGAGAGATGAGGTCTCGCCATCTTGGCTTCTAAAATCTTTCTGGCTGTAGTTTTTCAACACAGATTTGGTTTTGATTCTGGCAGTCTGTGACACTTTCAGTATTCTTCTCTAACACTATAACTCAAATGCATCAATTCTTGTATGGTCTTCCTTCTTCATTATCCAACTTTCTTGTGCATATGAAGCGACTGAAAATATCAGGACCTCCTTAGTCCTACAACTGACATACTTGCACTTGAACACTTAAGAAGTCTTGTGCAGCAAATGTGTCTAATGCAATATGTCATTTGACTTCTTGACAATGCTTTCATGAGAGTTGATAGTGGACACAAGCAAAAGGAAGTCTATGAAGATCTCAATCTTTTCCCCATTTAATGACATGATTCACTGGTCCAGTGGTGAAGATTTCTGTCTTCTTTACATTGAGGTGCAACCCATAATGGAAGCTGTGGTCTTTTATCTTTATTAGTAAGCATTCTAAGACTTACTCCAGATGGCTATTTAGGATAAACACTGGATTTGCAACCACAAGGTTGTTGTTGTTGTTAAGTGCTGTCGAGTTGATTCCTACCCATAGTGACCATGTATAGGATTTCTAGGGAGCAGCTGGTGAGACTGAACCGCCAACCTTGAAATTCCAACAGACTTTGTATTCCAGCGCATTAACCCACAGTGCCACGCCAGGACTCAAACTCACCAATTGCTCTTCAGAAACTCTATGCAGGGTCCCTAGGAGTAGGAATTGATTCAACAGCACTGAGCAACAACTTTAACAATCCCTTTTAGCAAGCCAAGTTGTATCATCTGCACATTGCAGGTTGCTAATGAATCTTCTTCCAACACGAATGCAAAATTTTTCTTCCTATAATCCATCTTCTCAGATTATTTGCTTAACATATAGATAGAATAAGTATGGTGAAAGAATAAATCCTAGCAAACGCTTTTCCTGATTTTAAACTATTCAGTGCCCCTTTGTTCTACTCAAAGGACTGCCTCTTGGTCTATGTACAGGTTCCTCATAAATACAATTAAGAGTTCTGGAATATCCATTCTTTGCAATGTTATCCATAGCTTGTCATGATCCACTCAGTCAAAAATTTTTGCCTAGTCTATAAAGCAAAGGTAAACATCTTTCTGGTATTCTCTGTTTTCAGGCACAATCCATCTGACATCAGCAATGTGCCCCTCATTACATGTCCTACTCTAAGTATGGCTTGAACCTCTGACAGTTCCCTGTCAATGTACTATTGAAGCCATTTTAAAATGCTCTTAACAAAATTTTATTTGCATGTGATATTAGTAATATTGACTGATGATTTCTGCATTCCGTTGGGTTGCCTTTTTTTGAATGGGCACAAATATGGATCACTTCCAATCAGTTGGCCAAGTAGCAAACTTCCAAATTTCTTGGCATGGATGAATGAGTGCTTCCAGTGCAACATAGGTTGTTGAAAGATTTCAACTTGTATTTCATCAATTCCCAGAGCCTTGCTCTTTATCAATGCTTTCAGTGCACTCTGGACTGTTTTCTTCGGCTCCACTAACTCTTGATCATATGCTACCTCTTGAAATAGTTGAACATCAATCATTTCTTCTTGGTATAGTGACTCTATGGACTCTGCATCATTCAATATTTTGGTCATAGAATCCTTCAATATTGCAACCATAGGTTTGAATTATTTTTTCAGTTCTTTCAGCTTGAGAAATGCTGAGTATATTTTCCATTTTTGTTTTTTAACTCCAGGTCTTTCATTATAATACCTGACTTTGTCTTCTCAATCTGTCCTTTAAGTTTTCCTATTTCACTCTTTAACCTCCTCATTTCTTCCATTTGTTTCAGAGTCTCTTCTGCCATACATTTTCTTTACTTCTTAATGGCCTTTTGTTTTCTTCCTTTATAATGTTCTTGATCTCATTCCACACAACTCTTCTGGTCTTTAGTCACTTATGTCTAGTGCATCAAATATGTTCTTGAGATGATCTCTAAATTCAAGTGGCATATGTTCAAGGTCATATTTTGCTGCTCATGGGTTTGTTTTCATTTTCTTCAGCTTCAGTCTGAAATTGCAGTCTTCCCCTGGCCTTGTTTTGGCTGATGATATAGAGGTTTTGGCCATCTATTTCCACAGATGTAGTCAATTTGATTTCTGTGTTCCATCTGGTGAGGTCCATGTGTATAGTCATATTTTATGTTGTTTATAAAAGGTATTTGCAATGAAGAAGTCATTGGTCTTGCAAAATTCTATCATGCGATCTCCAGCATCATTTTTATTACCAAGGCCATATTTTTCAACTACTGTCCTACCTCTTTGTTTCTAACCTTTGCATTCCAACCTACAGTAATTATCAATACATCTTGATTATATGTTTTAATCAATTTCAGACTGAAAAAGTTGGTAGAATTCTTCTATTTTATCATCACTGGCTTTAGTTATTGGTGCATAAACTTGAATAATATTGATATTGACTCGTCTTTCTTTAGTTGTTGTTGCCATATGCCGTGGAGTCGATTCCGACTCATGCCGAATCTATACAGTGTTTCCAAGGCTGTAAATCTTTACGGAAGCAGAAAGCCTCATCTTTCTCCCACGAAACAGCTGTTAGTTTCAAACTGCTGACCTTAAAGTTCTCAGCGCAATTAGTAACCACTACGCTACCAGAGCATCTTCATTTTCCTATCACAAACAGTATTATACTTCAAGATAGATTTTAAAATTTTCTTTATGATGATGAATGCAATGTCATTCCTCTTAAATTGTCATTCCAGCATAGGAAACCATATGATTGTCAGATTCAAAATAGCCAATACCACTCCATTTCAGATCACCAGTGCCTAAGATATTATGTATTCCATTTCATTTTTGAGAACTTGCAATTTTCCTATATTAATACTACATACATTCCACGTTATAATTATCAATGGATGTTTACAGCTGTTTCTCTTCATTTTGAGTTGTGCCCCATCAGCAAATGAAGGTCTCGAAGGCTTTACTCCATTTACGTCATCAGGGCCATGTCTGCCTTAGGAGGCAGCTCTTTCCCAGCCATATTTTGAGTACCTTCCAACCTGTGGGGCTCATCATCTGGCACTGTATCTGGTGGTATTTATCAAGTTTTAATATTCAGTATTCTGGTGCTATCTGACACTGCTAGTCATAAAGTTTTAGTAGTTAAACATTCAGAACTAGTCTGTCTCTCTTTCTTCATCTGCCGTAGTCTGGGAACTCAGCTGAAACCTGTCCACCATGGGTGACCCTTCTGGAATAAAACACCGGTGGCATAGCTTTCAGCATCTCAGCAAGGTGCAAACTGACAGATGAATTGTTGTTACTTGCCATCGAGTCAGTACTAACTCATAGTGACCTTATGCACAGCAGAACAAAATACTGTCTGACCCAGGGCCATCCTCACAATTGTTGCCACACTTGAGCCCATTGATGCTGCCACTTGGCCAATCCATCTCTCTGGGAGTCGTCCTCTTTTTCTCTGACCCTCCACCTTACCAAACATGATATCCTTCTCCAGTAACTGTTCCCTCCTGACAATATGTTAGAACTATGAGAGACGAAGTTTGGCCACCTTGGCCTCCAAGGAGCACTCTGGCTGCACTTCTTCCAAAACAGATCTATTGGTTCTTTTGGCAGCCCATGGCACTTTCAATATTCTCCTCCAACACCGTAACTCAAAGGCATCAATTCTTCTACGGTCTTCCTTAGTCACTGTCCAACTTTTGCGTGCATATGAGGTTATTGAAAAGACCATGGCTTGCATTAGGTGCACCTTAGTCTTCAAGTTGACATCTTTGCTCTTTAACAATTCAAAAAGGTCTTGTGCATCAGATTTGCCTAATGTAATACATCATTTGATTTCTTAACTGCTGCTTCCATTTGTGTTGATAGTTGATCCAAGAAAAATGAAGTCCTTGACAACTTCAATCTTTTCTCTGTTGATAAGAATGTTATTTATTGGTCCAGTGGTGAGGATTTTGTTTTCTTTACATTGACAGATGAGTAGTGGAAGAAAAATGGGTGGCGTTTAACAATTTTTTTAAGACTAAGGGAAAAAAATAGTCAGGAGGAGTCAAATCAAAACTACAAGGTGGGTTCCTAAGTATTTCCCATCAGATGTTGTCCAACATTCCCCTTGTTTCAGTAGAGGAATGAGCAGAAGCCTGCTCATGGTGGAGAAGGGCTCTGGTGACGCTCTCCCAGATGGTTTTCTGCTAAAGTTTTGGCTGAATTTCTCAAAACACTCTCCTAATAATCAGATATTATCATGCTTTGGCCTTTCAGAAAATCAACAAGTGCAATGCCTTGACCATTCCAACAAACTGTGGCCATGGCCTTTGCTCTTAACTGGTCCACATTTGACTTGACTGGACCATGATCGCCTCTTTGTTTGCTTTGACTGTGCTTTGTTGCCAGGATCTTACTAGTAAAGCCACGTTTCATCTCCTGTTACAGTTCTTCCAAGAAATGCTTCAGAGGCTCAATCCATGATTTAAAAGTTCCACTGAAGGCACTACTCTTGTCTGCAGCTGATCTGGATGCAACAGTTTGGGAGGAAGTTTGTTCAACTTTAATTTTCCAGTCAGAATTTTAGACACTGAACCAGCTGAGATGTCTATGGTGTTGACTCTTGTTTCCGCTGTTAATCATTGGACCTTTTCAATTAGGGCACGAGCAAGAGTAATTTTCCCTCTCAATTTCACATAAGTGGTATGAGCCACCGTGGGCTACATACATCTTCAACACTGTCTCATCCCCTCTGAACACAAGTTATCCATGTGCAAACTGCTGATTTCTTTGAGGCATTGTCCCTATCAACTTTTCATAAATCATCAGTAATTTTACTATTCTTCTTGACAAGTTTCACCATAAGTTTGATGTTTGTATTTGCTTAAATTTTACCAGAATTCTTGTTGCTCTGTTAGGAACTCTTTCCAAACTGGTGTTTTTCTCATCCTTTTTAGTGCTTCAAACTAGAGCCTGTTTAGACCTGTTTTAACAAATTAGTACACGTTTATATTGTTGCAAAAATTTTTTTGAAACCCAGGCTTAGTTTTTCACAAAATGCATTTTTCAAGAGCTTTTTGAAGGCCCCTTGTATAGTACAGACTCTAATCTTTTTGTTTTTGTTGAATTTGCTATATAAAAAGATGCAAATATATATAATACAATAGTAGCTGGTTGCTTAGCTTTTTATTTCTAGCAAGTTCAGTGTAATAAAATTATTTTCTCCCTTTAGCTTATGATTTTTGCTGTTTATTCTTTCTTTTTTAAATCACTACCTATCCTAAAAAGGAACAAATAAGTATTTTGCTATATTTCCTACAAATATTTTTGAAATGTTGTTTTCCAAATATGTCTTTAAATTTGTCTAAATTTTATTTTGCTTTAAAAATGCAAGATTGTGGTGTAGTGAATTATCTAATGTCTCTTCAAGCCATAGTCTGTAACTCCCACAAAACAATGTTTTTGCCCTACTGGGTCTGAATAAGAGAGGATACTGATAGGATGACATAATTCAGTTGTGAATATTAACAGAGTTAATTGTATTCGTGAAAACTTGAAACTCTAATATGGGTTTAAAATGAGTCATCTCAGAAGGAGAAAGGGGGAATCTCACTACCATCCAAAAGAAAGAGCCAGGAATGGAACAAATCTTTTAGACCCTAAGATCCCTGTGAACTAAACTTCCTCTACCGAGGGACAGAAAGCTGTGACACTGGAGGAGTGGCGGAGCAGCAGTAGTAGCAGTGACAGCAACAATGGGTTCAAATGTAGCAACAACTGTGAGGTTGGCACAGGACCAGGCAGTGTTTTGCTCAGTTGTGCACAGGGTCGCTATGAGTTTGTACCAACATGATGGCAACTGACAACAACAACAATACCATTTTGGGTAGCAGATTATTCAAATACCATTAATAATATCCTCTCCCTCACTGATTTTTAATATCACTCAGTCATTTGACTTCCCATATGGTCAATTTCTGAGATCTCTATTCTGTTTTGAAATAAAGGTACAAAAATTAATGCAAATAATTCCTCTGTTCTAGCTTTACAGTAAGTCAGCATACCAAAAGGAAGAGTCCTCTCTTCTTGTTCTAGAGAAAAGATTAAATGTTTTTATTAAGTTTTTAGATCAATTTGGGAAAATTCACATCTTTATAATATAGACTCCTGCTATTTAAAGCATACTTTATCTCTACATGTAGTCTGGCATTCTAATACAGGTTCTTTTATAAAGTTTTCTATCTTCATGAAACTGTTTCTTCGTTTTGTTAGAATTATGCCTATCTTGGTGAGGTGCTGTAGAATCAGCACTGGACTGAAAACAACAAAGTCGGCAGTTCAAACCCACCAGCTGGGAAACCCTACACAAGGTGGCTATCCATTGGAACTGACTTGATGGCACTTCACAACAACAACAGGTTATAGTTATAGGGAGTTTGGTGGCACCATATGATACACACTGGACTGCAAACAACAAGGTCTGAAATTCAAGCCCTTCAAGCACTCTGTGGCAGGAAAAGATAAGGTTGTCTGCGCCTGTGAAGAATTAAAGCCTCAGAAAGCCTATATAGGGTTGTTATGAGTGGGAACTGACTCAAGGAAACTTAACAACAGCAACTTAAAGTTATACTTGCTATTGTGATTTAAAAAACAACAACACAATGACATTTATGATTATTACTGTGGTATACATTTTTAAATGGTTCTAATGTTCAAAATTAAGGAGCTCTCATAGCATAGTGGTTATGAATCGAGCTGTGAGCCACAAGGTCAGCAGTTCGAAACTACCAGCTGTTCTGCAGAAGAAAGATGAGGCTTTCTGCTCCTGTAAAGATTTACAGCCTCAGAAACCCTGTACAGGGTCACTATGATTTGGAACTGACTCCACAGTACATAACAACAACAACAATGTCCAAAATATTATTCATTATAAAATTTGTCTACAAATGCTGTTACAGTTTCTCCATATATTCTCATCTTCTGTAAACATAATTTTATTGCTTATTTTCTAATGTTATCATTATTTTAAAAAATTTGTCTTGTCTTATTGCATAGGCAAGTACCTGTCTATAATAGATAACTGATAGCAGAGAATCTTTGGAAAGAGAAGCATGCTCTTGTTATTGCTTTATTATTTTTAGTTATTTTTAATTTGTTTAGATTTTCTCTTTATTCCTGAGTTGATATTGCATACTTATATTTTCGTAGAAAATTGTTCCATTAGTCTAAGTTTGAAAGTTAACTTAGAATTGTATGTCACGAGTATTCTCTCATGATTTAAAAATCTTTACTAGATCAAAAAATGATATTATTTTTATTCTTCATATTGCTTATATATATATTTATGTATGTGTGTTATTTATTTTATATGAATCAGTTTTGCTACGGACTTGCATATTATCACATTCTTAAAAAAACATGTTCACAGTTTAGTTAGTGATTTCAGCATTATTTTGGTTTGCTATTTTATTACTTTGTGCTCTTTTTTGCATGATTTCACTCCTCCTAATTACACTGGGATTTCTCTAATGATCCTTCCCAAAGTTTATAGTGAACCCACATTCATTATTTCCAAATGATGATTTTCTAATATTTTACATTTCATATTAGAAATGTCCCTTTAAGTGATCACTGCAACCCACATGTTTTTATAAATACTACATTCACTCTTATTCAATTATAAATACTTTATGATATCTATTTTAGTTTCTTCCTTAATCCATGAATTATTTAGAAGTCTGTTTTTCAATTTACAGTTGTGTGGGAGAGTTTGGACCATTTTTTACAGTTGATGACTAATTTTATTGAATTTATTTCATGAAATTTATTGCTGCTTTCATATCCTGGAATGATGATATAGTAATTCACATTTTTCAAGTACTTGCTGTGTACTAGGACTCCTGGTATGGCACTGTAGGATCAGCACTAGACTGTGAACCACAAGGTGAGCAGGTCAAACCAAACAGTTATTCTTTGGAAACCCTATACAGGGTTGCTATGAGTCAGAACCAACTCAACGGCACTTAACAACAGCACTAACTATGTGGTAGGCATGATTCTAACCAGTTTACATGACTTCACTTGTTAAAAATCACAACTGTCACAGTCGTTATTATTTTTAATAATTTACACATGAGAAATGTGAGCCATACAAGATTAACTCAGTCAGTGTTGGTTCTTAGACCAGCTCAGTCAAAATACAAGTTCTGGGTGAAAATTTAAGAAACAACTCTAGGAGCATATTTCTAGGAACAAAATGACTAGGAATATACCCAAAAGAACAGAAAGAACCAACTCAAAGAAAGATGTGTATGCTAATGCTTATTGCAGCATTTATCTCAATAGCCAAAAGCTGGAAAAACTCAAATGTCCATCAACAGACGAATGAAAGAAAAATGTGGCATGAACATACACTGGTTCTTCAAGGATCTCTAGATGGTGCAAACAATTTGCACTGGACTGCTAACCTAAAGGTTGCTGATTTGGGCCCACCCAGCACTGCCATAAAAGATAGACTTGGTGATCTGTTTCCATTATGATTAGAGTCAAGAAAACCCTATAGAACAGTTCTACTCTCTAACACATAGGGTCTTCTGAGTTACAGTGTACTCAATGGAAATGAACAATATCAACAATAACATGGTATTTCTAG